ACGTATCACAAAACCAAGCGCAGCACACCGGTTTACAAGTGTCAGGATGGAGAGTGGAAGAAGACCAGAGAATGTCCTTTCCCTGTTATGCCCCCTGATCACTTAGTGCTTCATGCTTCAGCTGTCAGAAGCCAGCTGAAGTGCCAGGTATACAAATTATCAAGCACATTCCTGTGCTTGATGGTCTGTATTGGAGAGCAGGAGAGAAATCAGAAGTCTACTAGATCCCTGATGTCTTCATAAAGAGAAACCTTCACCTCCAAATACTGTCACATAGGGGCTTGTCATCCTACTGTAGATCCTCAAATTATCTCTGAATTCATGCCGATACTGTCCTTCCTTTCGGAGGGTGGCTTGTTCACACGAGCGGTTAGCTGGTGGAACGTACTGTACCACATTCTGGACAGCTTTGTACGTTCAGGGGTGGGAAGGGGCATGGCGGTGCATTGAAGTCAATGGCACTGCAGCCAGACCAGATGCCTGCAGCTTGATTGCCCGCACCAGTACACGTGGCACATCAATGCCTGTGTTCTGGTCCAATGCGATCGTAAAAAATAGTGCACGCAGCATTTTTTCAGATCGAACTGGAACACAGTCATTGCACTGGAGCGCACTGTAAGCCCTCAGAGATGATTTGAGGATCTACAGCTGAGTGATACACAAATAAGATACATTTTTGTTAATAGTTCAGGTACTTAAATGTATTTTTAAGATTTAACTCCTGAGCTTGGTGTCACTTAAATTCACTACCCCTGGTCTATATAAGCTACTATTGAAGCTGTATGACTATGGAATAATACTGAGGCTGGAAGGCTACATGGGGAGTATAAAATCCTGCTGAGCCTTGCCTGTATTGCCATGTAAAAGTGAAAGTATATGTCAGCGAGCTGAGCGCACCAATCCAGTGACTTGAAGCATCTCCAGGCTGCAGGAGTGATCGGGTGATGTCAGTGTGCAGACTACAAGCCCCAGCACCCTTTGCGGCTGACCCGAGCACTGTCTGACATTAAAGCATACAGGAGGAGGAGGAGGGGGGAAGCTAGCAGAGTGCTGAGTGGCGCTGCTGTCAGACTATTACTTTCCTCGTCTCCTTCTATTTAGATCAGCCTGCTGCTCCTGACACCCTGCCTCCTTTTGCATTTTAATCCCATCGCTTCTTTTATATTTTGAGTGGTGGAGGGGGATTGAAGGAGCCCGATCTAAAGCTGCTGGACTTGTTTTTTCTTCTTTGTAATCCCCACCCCGCATTGATGCACTGCATGTTTAGCACCTTTCCCCATGCACATCGTCACTTTTGCTGTGTGATCGTTCCACGGTCGTATTGGTGCGGTGCTCGCCCTGATCTGTATTCATTGCAGGCTCGGAGCAGGGAGGGGGGCACCCTTGGTCATTTTGGACGGAGAAGACATTAGCCTCCGGGTGACACGGTTCCCGATGCCGAGGAGATGGACGGTATGAAGATGGTAGTAAAGAAGCCGGGGGGAAATAGGATGGAGAGCGGACCGGCCCTGTCCGCCCGGCAGCACTGCGAGCTCATCCAGAACATGATCGACATCTCCATGTCCAACCTGCGGGGACTCCGCACCCAGTGCGCCGCCTCGAACGACCTTGCTCAGCAGGAGATCCGGACGCTGGAGGTGGGTGAAACGGGGGGCTGGTTAACCCCTTCCCTGTCTAAGGACCCCCCCACATTTATTTGGGCGAGTATGTTGTGAGCAGAGGCAGGATATCCTGCTTCAGTGACAGTGGTCCAAGTCTGGTACACATTGGCAGTGCCAGGGTTAAAAGTGGAGTTTGTGTAGCCCTCACCCCCCCCCCCCCCCCGCCTCCTCTTCCTTGCCGTGCT